CCATGCATGCTCAGGGAGAACATTCAAACTCCATGCAGAAAGACCCCGGGCCGGGAATCCAACCCAGAACCTTCTTGCTGAAAGTGCTACCGACTGTGCCACTGAGCAGCCCACTCGTCACATTCATCACAAACTCCATAGGATTTCTGAATATCGGCTTATGAAATTTGAGGTCTGGGATTTTTAGTGTTACAGTTTCTGACACATAAAACATGTCAAAATTTTTAGCTTGACTGACTCACAGGAGAGTCGATTCAACACTGACCCAATCAACTCCTGGAAATAACTGTAAGTATTAAAAAAACATTTACTGAGTGAAATTCAATTCTGAGACCTTTTACTTAAATTTTAACATCTCTGGTTTGCGCTGTGTAGAAATGTTTGATCTTTTCCATTCAAAACTTTGACCGATTAATACATCATGTTTATCAACCTTGACAGAGAATGTAGGGATAAATAAAGAAAAAATATTTCTGATATATTAAACAAAACCTGTAGATCCACTATAAGACTGAATCTTTACAAATCATAGCTGGTGGTTCTTCAACTTAATTGTACAAAAATGAATTAAAAATAAAATAACATCCCATAGGATTCAGGATGTAACTGTTGCAATGATTTATATAGTGGCAATTAGTAACATATTAATGTGATATGAATTATCCTTATGGTGGTTCCAAGTCTCATAATGTGCTCAGAAAACTTTACATCTCTCTATATTAACTGCTCGACTATATTTTGTTAAGCGTTTGTTTTAGCAGATATCTGAACCAGAACGTAATGCATTATAATGTTGGGAAATAGTTTTTCTATAAAGAAAACCATGGCATTCAAAGGTTTTGAATGCAAGCTTATGTGGAGATAATCACAACTGCTCTAAGGCATTGATTAAAAATTTTGCAATAGATGTGTTTGAATTAGAAGTACAGTTAAACCTAATGTTTGTTTTGTAAGAAAAGATAGATATTATATTAGATACAATATAAATGTAATTTAATATTTTACTGCTTTCTACTGTAGTACATAAATAAACCATAATTCACTTACGCTGACCATAAACCTGTGTTAATTTGAATATCTGGGTCTTTCAGTATTTTCTTCATGTCCAGCAACCAGCAACAGAAACCATCTCCTGTTTTGGCCGTGCTTAATAATTAATTAATTTAACTTTTTATTGATCTCAGCAGGGGGCTGCCATTGTTTGGCACCCAGAGAGCAATCAGGGTTAAGGGTCTTGCTCAGAGAGCCAGAGTGATAGGCTGTGGAAGTGGGTTTTAAACTCGCAACCTCAGGATTCCAAGCTCTATGCCCTAACTACAAGGCCAGCACTTCCCTCCAAGCTTTTCATGTCAGCTGCAGCACTATCTGCTTCTGGCCTTGTGCCAGTGTTGTTTACTCGAGCCGCTTGGGCTAGATGACTGTCTTTCATCCAGTCTCTGCCTCATTCGGCCTCGGCTGCACGGCCTCAGTTAATCAGGCTGACCTTGGCATTTAGTAATCAGCTGGTCACAAGTCTAGACGGCTCTCATGCAGCTCTGAGCCTCCCTGGGCTCAAAGCACTGTATCCTAACTATTTAAAGGGATAGTTCGGTATTTTTGACATGAATCTGTATGGCATCCCCATCACCAGTGGCATGCAATCACACTGACTTACCCCTGGCAGCGTCCTGTGAGCAGAGTTCTCGTCCAGTTTTGGTCAAGCCGAAAGTAGTCCGGCAGGTTTTTAGGAACAACGAAATAAAACTTTTCTCTTCCCAAAACATTATGTGTTCAAAACAGCGATATTTTTGCATCCCAAAAACATTGTAGCCCAGCTAGGCGGAGGGAGACATGGCTGTTGTTGGGCTCGCTGTCTGAATGACGGCGCGCACTGATACGAACAGAGAGAAAATAGGACCAAGTGATAACGACGTGTGACTTTTTCCACTACAATGTTTTTGGGATGCAAAAATATCGCTCTTTTGAACACATAATGTTTTGGGAAGAGAAAAGTTTTATTTCGCTGTTCCTAAAAACCTGCCGGACTACTTTTGGCTTGACCAAAACTGGACGATAACTCTGCTCACAGGACGCTGCCAGGGGTAAGTCAGTGTGATTGCATGCCACTGGTGATGGGGATGCCATACAGATTCATGTCAAAAATACCGAACTATCCCTTTAAGCCAAACTCATCCAACTCCTATGTCTACATAATGTTTTATTCAGATTATTCCATTCATCTGCAAATGGAAAGACATGTTTTTAAAGACATTTTATATTTAAAACATCCATAATACTGTTTGAAGTTTCATTAAATTCCCTGTGTAAATAATTTGCCTTTGTTATTATTTTCATTAAAAGAATTTTTTAAATCATACTTTTCCAATAGCAAAACCACATTTCAACTTTTGCTTCAAAGTGTTAATAGGATTGTATTGTGTTTGTCTCTTACCCCTAATAAATGTTGAGTTGTATTTTGTTCTATTAAGTTTCGCTAAAAAGTTAATTATATCGAATCCCAATCTTAAATGTAACTAAAGTTAATTACCATAGAATCCTAATCTTAAATTTAACTGTCTTTTTTGAAAAATTTAATGATTAAAGATCTATTTAATTCACCTTAAGTATGCTCAATAATCAGTGTTTCATTTATTCACTTTGCTACAATTTGACCAACTTTACTCAGGAGTAACTAAATTCTCTCATCTATGTGCAAAGTCAGAATTTGTCTAATCACGTGTGGTTTAACATAGTCAAATATAAGCTCCAGAATCAGTCACTCTAAATGCCGTACACAATATCATTCTAGTGAAACAATCTGTACATTTCTTTAAGTTAAAAAAGCTTCCAAACTCCTGGTCCCTCTATTCTCTATGATCGCCCCTGCATGTGCTGTGTTCTCCTCTTCCTTCTGCCTCTCAATAAACGGCTGCTATTATAACAAGCTGTGTGTGAGTCATGCATAATGTGTGTGTGTGTGTAGAATATCTATGGACAGAACTCAGAACCACTTTTTGGACCAATAGATTTTCTAACATTTAACATGTTAACTTCAAGACATAGTAAATTGTCGTGTCCTGGGTCTCCCCCTGGGCCTCCTCCCGGTGGGACGTGCCTGGAACTCCTCACCAGGGAGGCGTCCAGGAGGCGTCCTAACCTGAGCCTCCTCAGCTGGCTCCTCTCCATGTGAAGGAGCAGCGGCTCTACTCTGAGTCCTCCCTGGATGACTGAGCTCCTCACCCTATCTCTAAGGGAGAGCCCAGACACACTATGGAGAAAACTCATTTCAGCCGCTTGTATCCAGCATCTCGTTCTTTCGGTCATGACCCAAAGCTCATGACCATAGATGAGGGTAGGAACTTAGATCAACCGGTAAATCCAGAGCTTTGCTTTTTGACTCAGCTCTCTCTGAACCACTACAGACCGGTACAGCGCCTGCTTCACAGCAGACGCCGTACCAATCTGCCTGTCGATCTCCTGCTCCATCTTCCCCTCATTCGTGAACAAGACCCCCAGATACTTCAACTCCTCCACTAGGGGCAGTACATCCTCCCCAACCTGGAGAAGGCACTCCACCCTTTTCCGGCTCGAGACCATGGTCTCCTATTTGGAGGCACTGATCCTCATCCCGGCTGCTTCACGCTCTGCTGCGAACCGCTCCAGTGAGAGCTGTAGATCACGCCCTGATGAAGCCAACAGGACCACATCAAATGCGAATAACAAAGATCCAATCCTAAGGCCACAAAGACAGATCCCCTCAACACCTTGGCTGCCCCTAGAAATTCTGTCTTCGAAACTGCAGACAGAATTTTATATTTTATGTCAACTTTTCTTTCCAAAGTTCACCTCCAAAAAAAAGACAAACATCAACAGCATTTGTATAACAACAGAAACGAGATATAACTAAAACTAAACACTTTGTAACAGAAATTTTCTAGACAGGATTGTATTTCTTTTGCACCTTATTTGTATTTTCTTTTTAAGAAAGTTTTGTAATGTTTTGTCATCGTTTGATGACTTTGCTCCCACACATTACTGAATCACTCAGAACGCATCCAATTTATAAGCATGTGCAGAAATTACCAAAATGTTCTGTAATAATTAACAACTTATCGACCAAATAAGTTGTTAATTATTACAATTAAGCCTTGTTTAGTTAGAACAAACAAATGGACACCCGTTTTTTCAATGCAACCCAGCTATTAGAAAATGTGACGCAGTAACAATTAAAAGTGAAAGCAAACGTCTTTGGCAGATATAAAGTGATCACTTTCTTTCTTTTGTTTAGTCTTCTAAGTTTTTAGACTTATTTATCCAATATTTTAACTTTTTTTGTTGTTTTGTTTCCTTATTTATTGACTTGTTTCCTCCTTTAATTTTGACCTTTTATGTCCTGTTTATGTTTGGAAAGGTTATTTTAGATCTCTACATTTTGTAGAGACCAGGTCTTACCTTACACTTTTTTCAGCCAGATTAGGTCATAGTGTTTAAGCAGATCTGACTACAGATCTAGAAGGAGGTTTACATTTAAACAGAATTTTTTTTTCACTTAGATTTCAAACACACATACTTCAAACAGCACTGGTCATACAGGATCACACGCCTCAGAGCTCTTCAAACACACAAAATTCTGTTAAAGCCATGGCAACTAGTTTCCTGTTCACATCCTTTTCTATCTTCATAGACTCTAGTAGCCAATTTAAATTAATTTGCATGCACTTATTTAACTCTTTTTAACAACTTTTGTTCAAACATCATCAACACAGAGGCAACCTGCTCTCTGTTGTTTCTTTCTCCGGAGACAATAACAACAGCAACGAGATCTCAATACAGCCCCTCTGGCCTTTTTCTCAACATCACAGCCCTTCAGGCTCAGGTGAACTGAAACTTGGAGACATATCAATCGGTCTTTGTCAGTCACATGACAGACACGCCCCCTAGCGCCATTTTTGTGGTGAGCGAAAGAAAAACAAAACAACAGAAGACGAGAGGAGAGCGCTGCATTATCATTGAAATGGAAAAGAACAAGAAAACTGAACGGATACCCTACCCAGACAAACTTTCAAAAGCTGCTAGGGAACGATATTATGCCAAGTTAGCCTCCATAAACAACATTGATCCATACCAAGTGAGAGCTAATAGTTGGCAGTCTGACGCAGAACTCCTACCTCCAACTACCTCTCTGGATATTACCAACTACCTTGTGTATGGAATAAGCGCTTACACTTTTTCAGAATTTCGGAACTACAAATCCCTTGAAGCCCATGGGCACTTTTCAAATGGCTGGGTGCAGGATCTCTTGTCATTTCAACCAGATGAATGTACAAACACGATTGTCACAACCAAGGTAAGAAAGCTGTAAATGAGTTAAGTTGCATGAACTGTGAATCCAAGGGTGTAGGTTTGATTTCAACTTTGGTAGGGACACTATTCTTCAGTTTCATTGGTCCTTTGCAAAATATGCATGCTCTTTTTTATGCTTAATGTGAGCTTCAGGGCTCATTTTGTTTAAAAAGAACAGCAGCATGTCTTGCAACATTAATACAAATGTTATAAGCACTACATGCACTAGATGCTGTTCATCAAGACTTAAAGCATCACTGGCTCTGATGAATGTGGAATTAGGACTTTTTCCACTTTGAAAAGGATTGCATTTAAATGTACCTGTGACTAAGACAGTGTCTGTTTAACCAAATATAGTCTAAATATGTCTGTAATATGTGGATTTATCCTGTGTTTTCTTCTTAAGGTATATAGAATTGTGCAGAGGTAAACAGAGGTAAAACCCACTCTTATTTTTTTTTATCTAATATGCTCTCTCTGGATCATGAAAAATAATACATTCAAGGGACGGAAAATAAATGTATTATAATTACATGTGCACTGGAACTATAAGAGGAACTGACACTGAGCATTTAAAATATTAATATTAGAAGTTGTACATCTGGGCTGTAGTTACTCTGTGTAGCTAATTTCATGTATTTTATGTAGGGCTGAAACAATTAATCATATTAACAAATTATTACAGTACAGTAAATGTCTCAAGCCTACCAATTTTTTCAGATTACAAATTTTTTTTTTTTTTTTATCTCATCTTACAGGTCCTTCATTCCCAACGTCTTAATGATACCCCACTGAAACCCTGGGCCATCATTGAACCAACAGGCACCATACTATCAGGTCACTGTACATGTATGGCTGGAATCGCAGAGACATGCACACATGTTGCAGCTATGCTGTTCAAGCTGGAGGCTGTCATCAGATGCAGAGAGACAGTTACAGTGGCTGGCCAACCTGCTTACTGGATGATACCCAGCAACGTTTCTAAGGTGGGAGCAGAAGCAGGGCACAGAATAGACTTCACCACTCCGAACTCCAAACGAAAGTCCTTGAATAAAATCCTGGATGGTGAAGGAACAAGCATGCCAAGTCCAAGGGCATCCTCAAGCACTTGCCCACATGGCATTGCCACAGAGGATCAGTGGACCTCCTACCTGGCTGGAATACACAAGATAACGCCGAAAGCTGCAGTTCTTTGTACTTATCCTGACTATTATGAAGCATTTGTTGATCCTGTGCAGCCATTCTTTGCACCAAAGTCACTCTGCCAACTACGGGATGAGAAATTTCAAAATACTGAACTGTCTGCTTTGCTTCTACATTGCAAAACCTTAGCAGACAAGGCTGCAGTTACACCAGAGCAAGCACACTACATTGAAAAGAACACAAGAAAGCAGCAAAATTCTTCAGCTTGGCATCACTTCCGTGTAGGGCGGATAACAGCATCAAACATGCATTCTGTGTATGTTTCTGATTTGGAAAAGCCTGCACTCACAACCATAAAAGCAGTTTGCCATCTGAACAACAGCAACAGAGCAGGCCGCTGTGCTGCCACAACATGGGGACTTCAAAATGAGGAGAACGGAAGAAGACAGTACAGACTGCAGAGAGAAAAACACCACAGTGATTTTGAACTGAGACGGTGTGGCTTCATTGTTAATCCTCATTTTCCAGAGGTTGGAGCATCACCTGATGGAATAGTGCAGTGCACCTGCTGTGGAAGCGGTTGCATTGAAATAAAATGTCCATACCAATACCGAAACAGCACCATCGAGGAGGCATGCAACAGTGGCGACAAGTGCTTTTGTTTGGAAAAACTGGATGAAAAATTTTGTTTTGTGGACACAAAAGGAATGTGCTGTGGTGCGTATTTTGCCAGACGCACAGCTCTGGAGTGCTCTCCTTAAAAAGGCGCATCAATTTTTTAACTGTGTGTGCCTTCCAGAACTTGTGAGTAACTATTTCACTCTGGTTAGAAGACAGGAGGTTCTTCAAGAGATTGCTGCACCTGGAGGAACTCAGGTGAAAACATGTCAAACCACAGATAAAACAACAAACAGTAGAAAAAAGTAAAAAAGTCTAAGATCGTCATAAGTCAGGGACAAGGCTGATGCAGCTATCAGTTGCACAGATAGCTGCAGTTATTAAAGTATTTTGTGCTGCTCATCAGGCCGAACGAAAACACTGGTCATAATTTTTGCACATTGATAAGTTGCACACTGTATTTGCTGTTCACTTTACCCAGGCCTGTTTTCACTGACATTATCTATGTATTTGAGATTTTGTGTTGCATTTTCATAAATTCTCTGCTTCATTGAGAAGAAAATAAAAACGCTTGTTTCAAATTTCAAACTCCACTCTTTATTGTACACACATTTTTACAACTTCAGAAACATTGTTAATATTTGAAGTGGTGGTGAAACCCACATTTTTTTGCTGTTATTTCTCAAAAGTAAAAAAAAAAGTTAACTTTAAAAAAATCAAAATTCTATTGGTGTGAAAAGAAGAATAAAGTTGAAACAGTACATGATCTGGCTTTCATTTTTACACTACAGTAGGGCAATGATTTGTAAGGGCACAACAGACAGAGACAATCTTGTCCAAAAAAGTGACTTCTTCGCCTTCACATGTCAACAGCGTGTTTATGGGTATGGTTCCAGTTAATATTTTGTATTTCTGACAAACATTTCCAATCACCCTTTCGACATGAATTCGACATGCCCCTTTGTGAAGGCTGGAAGCTTGACCTCCGCACACAGCATGCCAACATTTTCCTGTATATCAAAACCTCTGTCAGCTAACACAATATCCCCAGGCAACAACATGTTAAGAAAGCCACTGTTCAAGGTGATATGTTTGTCACTTGTACGCCCACCCCACCCTTTTTTATAAGAAACATATAGCTCCATTGGGTGTTATGCCTATTAAATACTTCATGGTATGATTGTGCTTGTAGGAGGAAAACATCTGGGCACGTGCCTTCAAATTAGCAGGTTTCTCTGTGAAAATTTCAAAACAGTCAATAATCACTGTGACTCTATGTCCAAAGGCCTCCACAAACTGATGAGGCATAATTTTGTGCAAGGTGTCTCTATCTGGCCACACAATTGCACGCTTTAGATTTGCATATAAAATGACACCATTTCATTGAATGTTCTGTACACTGTCTTTGGTGAAACACGGAAGAGATAAGCAAGGTGTTTTGAGGGCAGATCCAATCTCAGACGCATGAAGGTTAACAGAAGCATTTGAAATGGACTGAGAATTTTATTTTGAGCAGACATGAGAGGCAGCAGAAAATTAAACAAAGCCATAAAGGTTGCTAAGTTTGGTAGAGCCGTATAGTACTGGACTTTTTCATTACTGTCTCCAAAGAAGCAATCAGAGATCTGCAGCTCATCAAGTTCACGCCGCAGCTCTCTGTTTTCTTCCAAAAGACGGTTCATCTCTGCACACCTGAGCACACACAGGTTACATTCTGTCTGTCCTTCCTGACGACCACCTTCTGTGTCATCCTTGGTGTTTGGCCGGCCAATGTTTTCAGCAGCCTTCTGCGTGTCAGTCTGTTGCTGGTTAGGGTTCTCTGTCGCCTCATGTGTAACTTCATCCTGTTGCTCAAGGATTTCATCAGCCTGATGGAGCCCCGTTTCAGTTGCTTGCAGGGCATTCTTTTTCAGCTGTTCCCGATAACCACGTCTTAAAGAGCGTTCTGTGTCTGTTGGTCTGATGTCAGTGTGGCCTCTTTGTTAAGTCCTCTGTCTGCGGTCCGTATTTTTTTTCCAAGTGGGGAATACGAAAAACCGTAAGGCACCATCTGCTGTTTTCTGTTTAGAATTACTATTGCATCCTTTGACGCAGCACCAGTGTACCATTATTTCCAAAGAAACAACTAGAACACGTCTGCTCTCTGTTAGTTTTCTTTTGTTTGTTGCTGCTGTCTCTTCACCACAAAAATGGCGTCAACTACCCTAAATGCATTGCGCTTTTGCGGAAGTGACGCACACTGTCACAGACCGATAAGGTAACTACAATGGTCCCTTAACATATAAGTAGTGATTTACCTAGTTGCATCATTCGTAATGATACATCACTTATAACCCATGACCCGACACGATGCCCTGTCAAAATCTCTTAGCTTATCACCTGATTACGAGTGCTAGTCAGCCACTAGGAGCCCTTTTTTTTCCAAGATTCGCATGTGACTTCCAGCATGTAGACACCCTGTTTATATGCTGCATTCTCTGTGATGCCAAGTGAGCATAAGGGCAGGAATTAGACAACATAAGGCAATACAGTTGCTTCTATATTACGAGTCACTCAGTCCTAACAGGGAATCCTCCTCAGCTGACACGACTCGGCTATTTCCAACATGGCTCAACAGCAAGCCTCCACAAATCAGATCCTCTTTGAATTTTTCCGGCAACTGCAGGGAATCAACTCTAAAGTCTCTTCTCCTCATGTGTTTCAGGAGGAAAACAGAGCTCCAGCAGTGCTTTGGAAAACTTCCGCATCCAGGGACGTAGTGTTGCCTACCCCGCAACCATTCACCAGTGACCTCAACAAATGCAAGGGGTTTGTGTTACAGTGCACCCTGGTGTTCGGGCATTCCCCGCATTTACTGATGATGCAAGTAAGATATTTTATGTGATTGGCTTACTCAGACAAAGCTTTAAGATGGGCTGAAGCTACTATAAACCGGATGACATCAAAACAGTCTCTTGCCATAACTTCCTAGATCTTTTCCAACAGGCCTTTTGCCTATACATGTGCAAAAAACTGCTTCTGTTCCGCTCTTCCTCCTCACACTCATGTAGCAGATCCCCAATCACCTCCAGCAGACTTCACTAGTGTTCCTCTGGAATATCATAACTTACAGCAAGTTGATCTTCTTCCAGGCACACTTCTTCCATCAGGATGGCTTTTTAATCTGTCCCAACGTGAATGACAAGCAATGGAGAAATATTTTAACAGTTCCCTGTAGGCTGGTATATTTCACCCTTCTACATCCTCTGTTGGAGCAGGTTTCTATTTTCGTGCAAAAAAAGGACAAGGCTCTTCGTCCCTGCATTGATTATCGGGAACTCTACCAGATCAAGGTGAAAAATAAATACTCCCTGCCTCTCATTTCATCGCCCTTCAAGCTTTGAAGTAAAGCCACTGTTTTCACTAAATTGGACCTTCAAAACGCCATTTGGTTAGAATCCGAGAGGGAGATGACTGGAAAACAGCCTTCAAAACTTACATTGGACACTTTGAGTACATTTTCGTGCCTTTCAGCTTCTCTAATGCCCCAGCAGTATTCCATACACTCATTAATGATGTCCTACTGTAAAGCACAGGTGTCAAACAGGTTCCAGAAAGGGCCGTGTGGCTGCAGGTTTTCTTTCCAACCAATCAATAGCACACCAGACTCCATTCATCTCATCAAGGGAATCCAGTCTGAACATGATGACTTCATGAGATGACTGGAGTCTGGTGTGCTATTGATTGGTTGGAAAGAAAACCTGCAACCACATGGCCCTCTTTTTTTGAATGTGCAAAACTACGACAAAATTGGACTAAATCAGGAAATAAAACAACGTGATCGGCTGTAAGGAGAGGGCAGACAGAGGACACTGAGTTTACTGAACAAACCTGCTGCTGACCAGGTTAGCTCTGTGGCGAATGTTACCACGGTGAGTGAGACAGAGGTTGAGGAAACTGTGAAATGGAAAACTCAGTTTCCCTGATTTCAGGTTCAGAAACAGAATAAAAGGAAAAAGAGCTCAATGTATGCACACCCAGAGTACACCTGTCTCTGGGAACCAAGCATATGGAGGACCAGCTCTAGCATATTTAAAAATAAATACAGAAATAAATAAATGCTCAATAAAGAAATAAGTATACAATTATTGTTCCCAAAATTACAATAAACAAATAAATGTAGGTAGAAATTTAAGTATACAGTGAGACATAAATGTATATACACCTCTTTTAATTAGCTTCTTTATTTATTCGCCTTTGTAATAATTACCTTATTTATTTATTGTCTGTTATAATCTTCAACTTTATTTATTAATTATTTATTTTTTTAAGTATTTATCTATGTGCAAGTTATAATATTTTGTCTGTTTTATCCTACCTTTGTATTTTTTTATCCTATTTATTTCTTCAATGCTATTTATTTCTGCCTGTTGTTTTTACATTTCTGTCTGCATTTCTGGCTCATTATGCAAATTTAGGAGAGGTGTGTTTTAGAGGGTCAACTTCCCATTGGTTGGTTAGCATTTTATGAATGTACAGGAGGAGGGAAGAGTCTGAAGTCCAGTCTGAAGTCAGTGGCCCTTTTTATATTCATAAGAACGCGAGTACGGACTCGTGTCCTTGCCAAGTAAGTTCTTGTGAAGAACACAGGAAAGTTTGGACTCGGGGAGAACGGCAGCACACAGCATAATTCTGGGTCAACAGGAACAGAAGCCTATTGATGACGTCACCACATGCTCTGTTTGTCTGGAGCTGCTTGTCACCTCCTGTTATTAATAGTCTCTAAATAATAAATCAATTCTGACTTTTTTCATTTGGTGGGGGGATAATAATTAACAGTCAGATAAATATGAATCTAATGAACATTTTGCCAAATTAAACAAAAAACCGCCATCATAGCCAGCGGTCCTTCAGACGCAGCTATGCCTAGAGAGAGCTGCTGCAGACGGGCCATGATTCGCCCTGGCTCCCATTAGCCTTGGAGCTCGGCTTGATCCGCGGTCCTCTCAAATTCAGAAGTGTTTTAACATTACGCATTAAATTGGTAGATGTACCATATAGTGACACTTAAAATTATAATGTTCTAGCCTCAAACAATCTTAAAATGTACTTTTTTTAACAACAGCAACAGAAAAGAGAACTTTTAACTTAATACTCTGAGCTG